GTGTGTGTGTGTGTGTGTGTGTGTGTGTGTGTGTGTGTGTGTGTGTGTGTGCGTGCGTGTATACACAGGGCAGGAGCACACACTAGAGGCGGCAGCTGTGCTTAGACTCCGTAAAATGAATCAACAGGCGGTCCTTATGGAAGCCCTGTCAGCGATGAACTACGAACTTCGCTGAGTGTCTGCTTAAAATTGTCCATAATACACAGTATGATTGTTTATATAGATTAAAGTGTATTTGAAGAGGAGAACACAGATGTTCTGCAATTGTAGAATGTTTAGGGTTGCTTACCCCTCCCTTTCCCAAAAACAAAACAAAACAACAGCAAGAATGACAAAGACAACAGAAACAAAAACAAATATGCATAACATGTTTTAATGACTACCGTAGTGTACACAGTCTACAGTAACAAATATTCAAAGCTAGCAGCGAATAGAACATTATAATATGACTTCCCAGACTGTACACTTCGTACTATCAAAAGCTGGCCCACGATATATTTATCGGCGTCCAAAAGAAACTTGAAGATGTATTTACCCACCCAATCAACGTGTTAAAGCGTTGCTCCATCCACCCATGCAGCATCTGAGTTATCTGACACATTATTTTTCATTTAGAACTGCAGTTGAACGAGATTTGATCACTCAAAATTCAACCTAAAAAAATCATGTGTTGGTAAAATTGTGTTCGCGCTTCTAATAAGGTGTCATTGGTGGAATGGACATGCATTGCAAAGATATCAAATATATGATAGACAAAAATATATAAAATGAATGAAGTTTTATTTTTTTTTTTTTTCATTTTTTGGCTTTTGTTGTTGTTGCTTTTGTTGTTTGTTTTTATTTTTGAGGGGGGGTTGTCGGCTGTAAACGTAATTTTATGAGTATTACGGTAGGTTGAAACAGACTGGAAAACAGAGAAGTCACAAATACGACGCAAAACTTGGACTTGACATTACATGTGCTCATTAATATTTTGAATAGTAGACGTTAGTTTTGTGAAGAGCACGAACCCTTTGGGCATGAAATGTGCTAAATTTTGTACATAGTTATCTGTCATTACATCTCAGATGTCACTGAGAGTTGCAAAACAAAGAGTCTGAACTGAGAGCGAAGTCGCGTAACTTCAGCTGCGGTTTCATGGGGTTCCAAATAAGATCTGTAGGATTCATGTCGGGAATATAATTTGCTGATGATCATCCGTCGTTGGTGTGATTTGCTTTTCCAAGAATTGCCTAAAGTGTTTACTCTTTGAGAAGGTGCTTTGTCATGCATAAAGATGTCTACTGTAATGACACCATGACGAATATAAGGATACGACGTGAAGTTCCAGCACTTGCGCAATGTAGTCCACGAAATGAAGCCTCTCGTTGATCTTCACGAGTGGGGTCTTCTTTGTTCCATCCAGGCCACCCCATTCTTTGGCAGTTACATGGTCTCTGTTCCTTAATGACAGTTGTTTATGGCCAAATTCTAAATGCTCTACACAAAACAAAAGGCTCGTACACAAATGAAAAGTATTGAATACATTTAACATTACACCCACGTTATGCGTGGTATTTTATGATTGCTCTGTTTTTCCATCTGTCTGAAAACATCATTAAAAAACATTGTTCATAGCAGACACAATAATATTCTCCATTCGTTCGATATACAATACATGTCCATTCCGCCAATGTTAATGCACTCAGATACACGCATAAACAGACGTTTACCATTCTTTGATTTCACACAATTTTGAATGATTTTTAAAAGTTCAATTTTGAGTGACCATTTCTAGGGCGAGTCCTGCTGTATACCAAGAAATTGATGTGTCAGATTATGCAGAATTATTTAGCTTTAAATTGGTATGCTGCATGAGTTATGGAGCACGGCTTTAACACGACGATTGGGTGAATACATTTCCAAGTGTCTTTTGGACGCCAGTGGAGATAGAAAGATAGATAGATAGATAGATAGATAGATAGATAGATAGATAGATAGATAGATAGATAGGTAGATAGATAGATAGATAGATAGATAGATTGATAGATAGATAGATAGATAGATAGATAGATGGATAGATAGATAGATAGATAGATGGATAGATAGATAGATGGATAGATAGATAGATAGATAGATAGATAGATAGGTGTTTTACTTACATCAACAGTCTAGAAAATTTAGGAGGCAGGCTTCGATTTTGCCTGTCAGGGCCAACCCAGACTGCTACAACATCCTGGCTGAAGACAGAGATACTTGATAAGAATCCTCCCTTCATGGGAATCGATCTCGCGTCGGTTGCTCGCTATAGCAAACCACCTTACTGTTACACCACAGACTTTGGTGCCACTTTCGGCTTGGAGACGGTTACTCATTATACTCAAGAATCATTATTTAAAGTTCAAATGTAGTTTCAATGATATTAAAACAAAACATATTTATAATAACATGTGAATGGTTAAAACTACAAGACTGGCAGTTAAATGAAAGGAGATGATTAGTGTTTTATGTGTTTGCTCCATAGCTGCAGCAGCAATTTTGGAATCTTGTTTTATCCAGACTTATTACAATTAAATCATGCCGCTGTTACACCTTATCTTTCAACTTCGTTCCTTGATGTTGCTAGCATGCTGTGTTTAGGTCAGGTAGGAAACAAAAATCAGTTAGCATTTTCAGTGCATAGTCACTACCTGTCATTTCTATTTAAAGTTAAGACTTCTAAAAGTGGCTCCATAATTATAGTTTCAATTATTTTAATATTATATGGTGCTTGCTAGAGAGTGAATGGATACAATTATTGTGAACAGATACGCCTTTTGTCAAATTCGTATATCTATCAAAGTTACTTTGTCAACTCTTCTCAGACAAAGTGTTTGTTATGTAAATCAATAACAGAAAAGTAAGAACAATTGGAATGACTGTCCCTTAGCCAGTTCATTGATCTCGTAAATATAATAAATAAACTCGCCCAAAAAAGTCAAGGAACAGGTTGTGTTTTCACCTGTTAAATTCAAACTTCAATATCTCACAAATCCGTTAAGATCAGTCAACCAAACTTGGCACACGCATTGACGACTAGACACAGTTAGCCCCTACGGCAAATTTGCAAGCACCAGCATCATGGCAACGGCGCAAGGCATTCTGAAACACAGCCGAAAAGCATGAAAAATGGGCTACATTTCTTTGACTCAGCAACATTGGCATAGGGACTGTTAGCTAAGAGCTAAGACTAAGCTTGGCTCGTGCTAAACAGATGTCTTAGCTGTGAATATTGCTGACTTACAACCCTTTAGAAGCCAGCGATTTTCAGCCATGTTTCATTACAACACGATGGTCCAACAACGTTCGCTGCCTGACGTCGACAGAGGATGAGCCATTGCCTGGCTCCAAGATGGCTCCACGCTCCCAGTGTTGCACATCGACTTGGGATGTCTCCATCAGTCATATAGAGGCTGCAAGAACGATGACGAGTGACCGGAAGGGTCCAGGATAGGCCTCGACCAGGGCCGCCCCGTTTGACCAACGACAGCATCGACCGGTTCATCGTCAAACAGGCCGTGACGTCACGAACCACAACTGTAAACGGCATCAGGGACCAACTACAGGTGACAGCCAATGTCCACGAGAGCGAGGAGACGGTAAGGAACCGTATCCGTAGAGCCAGGTTAGCTTCTCGTGTCCCTGCCAGGCGCCCAAGGCACATGCTACCCCACAAGCAGCTCGCCCGGAGTGGCCTGCTCTCCATTCACAGTGGACACAATGTCAGTGGGACCAGGTAGTCTTCTCGGACGAATCCAGATTCAACCTGGTGCACCCAGACAGGCGAGCCCACATCTGGAGGCGCCGAGGAGAGCGGTTCCAACATGAGTGCATCCAGCAGGTGGCGCCCTACAGTGGAGGGTCCGTTCTGGTGTAGGGAGGCTTCTTAGCTCACCATATACAGGGCAATTTGGCCGCAGCAAGGTACAGGGGGGGGGAAATCCTGTGTCGCCTTGCTGTTCCTCTCCTGCAGCAGATTGGACCCCAGGCTGTACTGCAGAACGACAACGCCACGCCACATCGTGCACGCATCGTGGGGGACTTCCTGCAGCAGCGAGCTGTCACCGGCATGGACTGACCAGCTTGTAGTCCGGATTTGAACCCAATAGAGAACGATGGATAAGGGACAACAACCCTCCTGCACAAAACCTTCAACAACTCTTGGGCTACCTCGTATGGGAGTGCAGAACTTACCCCAACAAGTTCTCGGAAAGCATGTCCTGTCCATGCATCAACGCTGTGCCGAGTGTTTGATCAAACGGAGAGGCTACATCCACTATTGACAATGTTCATGAAGAACTATGGCTGTTCAGACTTTTGAAATCCGACCAGTGTGACTTAAACTCATTTTACATGAACTTCTCGTTGTTGTTGAAATCTGAAATTGTGCACATTTAATTTAGAGAGTTGAAAGCATCTTTGGTGAAAAAATGAATAAATTCGATGAAACTGTTCTTCAATTATCTTTCTTTGAATGTTTGTTCCTTGACTTTTTTGTGCGAGTTTACAATGACATGTTGAATAAAAATCTTATAGCTAGTTCACTGCTAGTAAATAAAAACACATCTGTAACAAAAATATATCTTAGCTTGTTCATTGCTTTATGCCTGTGCAAGCAATTCGGGGACTTCCTTCGTACTTCTTTCAAGATGTATTACTCAACAACATGTGCATTGAAAACCATTCTTTGAAAGCGAATAAACTGACTTTGATTCTCTCTTTGAGCATTGATAACATGACAATGCTCGCATTGTTCATTCGTCTTGACCGTCACAACAGTACCGCTTCACTTCAGTAAACAGCTGCGGAAATGTGCCTCTCTTTCCGGTTGGATTTCTGCCCCTCTTTCCGGGTGGATTTCTGTCTTTTCATGTGGGGGAAAGTTTTGGGGGGACTCAGACAATAGAGATAATGTTAAAAGCGAGTGCAATAGCATTGTTCTACATTTTTATAATTATTATATTGCAAGATCCCCAACGCAGAAGCTAACCACTCATGATTTACCCAGTTGCCGTTTTGCAACAACAACAAGCGAACATGTCTACGAAGGTAGCTCGGAAGTTCGAGCTCATTCGATAAAAAATGAACAAGTTTATAGAGGCATTGATGAAGTCGAGAACGAAGATGCAGTTCGCTGTACTCATGAAGAGATTATGGTATCGACCCAACACATAATATTCAGGCTCAGCAAGTTGGGCGATACCAAATATAATGCGAGGGAAAAGATTGACGATGTAGACAATGATAATTGCCATAAGCATTTTCGCTATCTGCTTGTCTTTCCCGGACAATTTGCTCTTCGAATCCGTTTGGGCGTCCTTCACGTTCTGTGCGCTGGTGCGGAAAGTCGAAGACCTCCTAAGTCCATGAACCGTCAAAACCGAGCAGATGACGACAATGACAAAGCTAAAGAGAGGCAAGATGATGGCAATAGCTTTGTAATACGCCATGATCATTCGCCCGTGTTGTTTGTAGAAATCGTTGAAGGTGTACTCGGCTATTGTTGTGTTGTACACCGGATTGTATATCCACACGATCTTATACAGGAAAAACACAATAGCGTACGCACCAAACACAGCAATAGAAATAATGAGGACTGCGGCTAAAGTAACTTTAGGGCCGAGCAGAAACTTTACTTTGAGGGGTATCATCACGCAAAGACATCGCTCGAACGCTATGTACGCGGCAAGCGCGTAGGAAACATATCCTGCGAATATTGGCAGGTATCCCAAGCTGGGCAATGTCATGTGATGCCAGGACTGACCAAAAGCCGGGGAAAACCAGCTAATGGGACCATACATCCGGTTAATCACAGCACCAATACACTTGGTTAAGTCCCAAAACGCTACGGTTGCCATGGAGATGTTGACACTGTCTCTAAGGCCTTGTTTGATGAAAACAGCCAGAGTCAGGCTGTTAGTCACGACGCCAAGCAAAGCAATGACCATACAGAGCCACAAATCCACATACGTTTCGAAGTAAAAGTACACTGCGTCGCTGACGACGCCCGAATGTACCTTGATCTTTCGCGGCACTGCTGTTGTTACCTGAAGTCCTAAAGTCTTCTCCGACAGAATCGTTGAGAAGGCTGTGGTGTCCTCAACAGAAACATTAGAAATAGTAGCTGTTGTGTTCATCGTGTATGTATAATTTTCTTGCATTCTGCTCTACGACAGGGACAATTTCTTGCAGTCCTCGGAGGTGAAATTAAACGTTTGTCTTTCCCTTTGGTTATCTGTAAATAAAGGGAAATGAATATGAAACACAATGAAAATGTATCCCTTTCAACGATTGTTCATCAAAGAAAAATATATTTTGTCAATTTTCCCTACAGCTTCTATGCTTTAACAGAAGGCTCTCCACATTGAGAGGAAAAGACATGACTGGTTTCTTTCACAGAAAGAAATACTGTACAGATTATCCGGAAAAAGTAAAGTTTCGACCCCCTCCCCATTTTTAAGTTCGATTAAAAGCATCTTTCACCCATAAAGTTACAGTGGCCCAAATGTGTCCCATCCCCAAAGGCATTTGCCTTTTTATATATTTATTTTCTTTCCGTTTATATTTCTTTCCTTGGGGAGGGATATTTTGTTTTGAGTTGTTGTTTTGTTGTGGCTTTGTGTTGTTTGTTTTGTTGGGGGGGGGGGGGGTTGTTTCGTTTTTTCGGGGAGGGGGGGTTGATTTGTTTTTTGTTTTGAAAACAAATATTCATTTCCCTTTATTTACAGATAACCAAAGGTAAAGACAAATGTATTTGTGGGTGGGTTTTTGTTTGTTTGTTTTTGTTTTGTTTTGTGTTTTTTGTGAGTTTTGATTTTTGTATTTTTAGTTTTTGTTTGCTGTTTGTTTTTTGTTTTGTTTGTTTTGTTGTTGTTGTTGTTTGTTTTTTTTGTTGCTTGTTTGTTGTAGTTTTTTTGTTTTTTTATATTTTTTTTTTGTTGTTTTTTGTGGGGGGGTTGTTGTTGTTGTTTTTTTTGTTGTTGTTGTTTGTTTTGTTTTTTGTTTTTTTTTTTTGGGGGGGGGGAGGTCTTTAACACTTGTTTATAACGAAAAGGCCTATCCGTGAAGAGAACCGAGCAGTAAAATAATTTTATATATTATAATGCTTAACATTAATTTTCTTTCGCCTCTACCTAAAGTGACTTCTGTAGCTGTGAAAGGGAAGAAAATTTCGGCAAATAACGGTTATGCACAGGTTGGAAAAAGCAAGCACAAACACGAAAAAAGTAACGGACTGGCTAAGTAATAGAACCCTGCCTGCAACCCGTTTAAATGTTATTTTTTTTATAGGTATAATCGAGCACAAGGTATAAAATGCATTGAATTCCGAATTTTACTGTCTTTTCTGGAACCGACTATAATTTATTGTGGCCTTTTCTATACCAGAGAACAATAAATTGTTGGGCAATATTAGGGATCTTTTCCCCAACAACACAAGCTCAGTAAAAGCAGAAGAGGGCAAAACAAACTGGTTAGCAGTAATATCAGAAGTACGACAGGACTGCGTTAGATCTCGCCTCCTTTTTATAATCTATATGGTCAAAATAACCCAAGACGCAAGCCAAAGCCCAAGAAGCTTAAATGAACCTCTCTTTGCCTTCGATAAATGCCTTATTCATCCATACCGACAAAGAGCCTAAGCTACATCACCGAACCCAACAAAAGCAGTGAGAAATTTGACATGAGAATGAGCGCACCAAAAACAGAAATCATGAAAGTCAGCCGAAATACTGGTCCCCTGAATATTCGTGTGAATAGCAAACAACAAAAGTGGGCAATGATGGCAGGGGTGGAGGGTGTAGTGTAAGTGTTTTACGGCGTTCACAACTGCACAAGGTCGTATGAGCGCAAACATGGTTCCTTTCTTTCTTTCTTTCTTTCTTTCTTTCTTTCTTTCTTTCTTTCTTTCATCATTCCGATTTTCAAAAATAAAAAAAAGGAACAAAGACAAACACGCAGAAAGCATCTGTGGTTTTTCATTGCATTATCAATTTCTATTATTTTACCTTCTTGTGCTCGTTACTCTCTTGGAACATCTCACATTTTCGACTTTAATATGAACATAATATTGTGTTGCAAGTGCCATAAAACTCTTAATAAAACTAAAATTAAAGATAGAAAAATAAGCCAACCATGAATATAGGCCTTCTATAAAATCTGTCTTCCTGGTCTTCTGTCTTCTAACAAAGAACTCATCTTTAAATATATATGTATACCATACATGTATGTATGTATGTATGTATGTATGTATGTATGTATGTATGTATGTATGTATGTATTTATGTATGTATGTATATACTGAACACCATTAAAAACGCAACACTTCGTTCGCAGAGTCTGAACATGTTTGTATCAAATGAATATAGATTATAAGAAGTCTGGGGGGTTTTTTAAGTTTATTCCGTTTCCAACATATGTGAACCATTTTTGATCACACACAAATTGATTTCGATACGATTTCCCCCTTCTTTCGGAGTACGCCCTTAAGACAAATTTTGCAGACAAACACAAATCGAAACTCAATAAAGATCTCTCACCCTCAGTAAATTGTAAGGCCATCATTAACATTGATACATACCAAAACACTTCTTCACATGGATTTTGTAACATTTTTAATGGGGGGGGGGGGGGGGTGGAGAAATTTCGTCCCACTTTCGCGGCAGCGTGATCTCCCAATAGCTGCAGATTCGCAAAACGGCACACAGTTTGCGGTTCAGTTGATCCCATACGTGCGCTGCTGGAGACATACTGGCCAGTCCATTACTTTCATGTTATGATGTTCCAGAAACTGGTGTTGTTTGTTAAATCGGCAGTGTAAGGGCTGGAGTGTCGTGTTGGATGACTGAGAGATTCTGATTTTTTATTTGTGCTGTTTGGCACCGTCAAGAGTGCTCTGTTGTTGCGGCTTCGTTAATTGCATTCCTAAATAAGGCGTTCTTGATCTACTAAGTCCTGAATTTACTGCGCTGCGCCTCACACTAATGAAAGAAACATTTTCAGGCACTCCATGCATGCCTTGAGCTGTTACTTTGAGGAACGAAACGATGTCGCAGATGCGACAGCAAAACCTGCCTCTCTTGAACAGGGCTGGTCACTCGAGACTGTCCTATTCTTTGCCCATTCCGGACATTTCTAGTGTGCTAAAATCTTTGTATAAGTTGAGAACAAAACAAGCACTGCATTTTAGTCGCATTGCTGCTTCTCAGAAAGATTTTCCTCCCTGAACAAGGCGCAAGCGAAAGTTGAGATCAGCTTCTCTAAGTTGAGGAGTCTTGTAACGATTTTTTAAAAATAATATAACAACTAATGAACATATTTTACTAAAGCATAGTATACTGTATTGTGAAGAAAATTACCCATGGAAATAGCAAAAATTGTGCATGGTTGTATGGACTAACACTTGTGTCTCGAAAAATCGTGACGATCAGAGCATATTTGGCTTTTTAATAACTTTTTGAAACCGTTGCGTTTTTAGTACTTACTTTACTTCACTTTTACTTTTCCATCCTCTGTTGCCGTTAAGCGTCAAGGGGAGATGCAGTTTTCTATGGTAGGCCAGCTCCACAGATCTTTCAGTTGTGATGTTATGTTTTCTTAAGGTTTCCTTGACTCCCTCGATCCACCTTTTGCGTTTTTAGTGGCGTTCAGAAATATATATATATA